CAAGTCTTCATGTTGGAAGATTGTTAGTCTGCCCCTCTAGGCCAAACATTGAGATTATTTTGAGATTGTTTTGAGATTGTTTTGAGATTGTTTTGAGATTGTTTTGAGATTGTTTTGAGATTGTTTTGAGATTGTTTTGAGATTGTTTTGAGATTGTTTTGAGATTGAATTGAGCTGGACGTACTCACTGGCCTGCCAGTGAGTAGTAAAATGTCACTGTGCCAATCAATCAATGATAATAAAAGCTTGAGGTTGATTTGATTGATTTAAATCAGATAGATTTGGATTCCTGAGAATGAATTTGAAAAGTAGGGAGACAGTCCAATCAATCGATGAGAATAAAAGCTTGAGGTTGATTCAATTCAATGAATTCAAAGAAGAGTTGAATGAAATCAAAAGAGATAAGAGTTGAATTGAGATAAGAGTCAAATGAAATCAAAAGAGATAAGAGCTTGGATTTGAATTGAAATTTTGGATGATTTGAGTCAAATGAAATCAAACCAGATAAGAGCTTGGATAAGAGTCAAATGAAATTAAAAAAAGATAAGAGCTTGGATTTGAATTGATTTTTCGGATGAGATCTATGATGAATCAAATTGGATCAACTTGAAAACTAAGGAGAGAGAGAGTCAAATGAAGTTGATGAGGATAAGAGTTCCAAATGAAAAGTAAGTAGCTAGTCAAGTGATGGGTGAGACCAATGAGAAATTGGTGATTGAGCAGGTGAGAACTTGAGGATGAGATGGATGATGGAGGGAAAAGGGTGATGGGTGAGAGGGTGAAAGAGGGTGAAAGAGGGTGAAAGCAGGTGAAAGCAGGTGATCAAGCGGGTAAAAGAGGGTAAAAGCCGGTGACATGCGGTGAAACCTAAGGTACAGTGGTTTTCTTTTTTTTTGCACCTCTGTCCTCTTACCACCGGCTCTCACCGGTTTTTTTGCGTTTGAGCCAGAAGACGTATAAAATTATAAGTCATCTTATAATTTATAAATCTGCGAGCCACCTCTCAAGGTGGCTTGGAGGTCTCAAAATAAAAGTTTTTTTAAGGACAACAATCATGTTGTAAAACGTAAAACTGCCTTAAAAACTCAAACTTGAACTGCCCTATTAGGGGGGCTCAATTCAAATTTTTATACTACTCTTATCGTAAAAAACATTTCCCAATTTCATAAAATCTACGCAAAATTTTATGAAATTGGGAAATGTTATACGACATCCCAAATTTTTTTAAGCAGAAAATTTGCGTAAATTTACTGCTCAGAAGGAGATCCAAAAGATTTTTTTTTGGTCCTTTTTTACAAATTGGGAGAAGTTTTTACAGCACGGTACCGTAAAAAACTTCCCCCAATTTTTAAGAAAGGGCCGTAAATATTTTGACTTGAGCCCCCTTATTGTTTTTCTTCTTCCCTATCGAACTCAACCTTTCGTTGTGCTACAATCTTCCTTAGATTGTTTTTCTTTCAATCATCCCGTGTCTTCCATCAGTAAGACCGAGTCTGATCTTAATCCACTTCAGGTGTTAGTTAAAATGTTCTAGTTGTTTATGTTCTCTTATGTTAATCAAACTCAACCTTTCGTTGTGCTACAATCTTCCGTAGATTGTTTTTCTTTTGATCATCCCGTGTCTTCCATCAGTAAGACCGAGTCTGATCTTAATCCACTTCAGGGAATGTTTTTGGCTCAAGTGGGTTTTTTCGTTGAGATGAAATGACTTGAATGGATTAAACACCTCACGGTCCTGAGACCTGATTTCTATTTTTTCACTTCTGACTGATGGAAAAGAAAAAATGACCCATGACTCCTAAAACCTCCGACCCTAAGGGGCGGATACATGACTATAGATATACAACTTAATATGAGTAAGCCTATTGGGAGGGATGGTGGGTAATTAAAATTTTTGTACTTTTTGTGAGAAAACAATATATAACAACAAAATTTTGTAACAATATTAGATACACTCTTAAATTTTTTGTTGATAATGGATTTGGATGATAGTAAAAAGATAACAAAAATCAATTGAGGAAAATCTGGAAAGAACCACTGCGCTCTCCAATACTTCACGAATGACTACCCTTCTATGAGATTCGATTTCCACTCTTCTCTTATTAGATAGCTTAACGTAGGTCTTTCCATCTTCATTCTGATGTCATTTCTCATCTGTAACTAAACCTTTCCTCACCTGCTACCATTCCCGTTTGTCAAAACGAGTTCCAACTCCCAGGAATGTTTTTGGCTCAAGTGGGTTTTTTCGTTGAGATGAAATGACTTGAATGGATTAAACGCCTCACGGTCCTGAGACCTGATTTCTATTTTTTCACTTCTGACTGATGGAAAAGAAAAAATGACCCATGACTCCTAAAACCTCCGACCCTGACCACCCGCTATTAAAATTAGACCGTATGATGGTAAATTAAAAGATTATTTGATGTGTGCGAAGCTAGGGAAAGGTTGGATGTTTGAGGTTAATTTTTTGGAGTTCTTTAATTGGTGATTGAATAACTGTACAGAGTTACTCGATGTCAGCCTAGTAATATTCACGAAGTGAATATTTTACTCACTAGCTGGATAAAGCAGTTCTCCCAAAAGACATTCGAGGGAAACCTTTGATTTGTAGAATTTGTCCGTGCATTGAGCTAGGGAAATTCACAAGAGTCAGCGTGTTTTATTTGGTGAATAGCGGTTAGACCACTTACCTACGCTTGTTTTGTATTCA